GGTGGGCCGAAAGAGCAGAGCTCAACTACCGCAAGCACGACTAGGTGTATACACACACACACATATACACACACACACACACACACACACATACACACACACTGTGTGTGTGTGTGTGTCACATTGGAGGGGTGACAGGTAAGTCTCTAACATGGATGAAAAATTTCCTGAAAGAAAAATGAGGGCCGTAATCAGAGGCAATGTACTGGATTAGTGGAATGTCACAAGTGGAGTACCACAGGGTTCAGTTCTTGCACCGGTAATGTTCATTGTCTACATAAATTATCTACCAGTTGGAATACAGAATTATATGAACATGTTTGATGATGATGCTAAGATAATAGGAAGGATAAGAAACTTAGATGATTGTCATGCCCTTCAAGAAGACCTGGACAAAATAAGTATATGGAGCACCACTTGGCAAATGGAATTTAATGTGAATAAATGCCATGTTATGGAATGTGGAATTGCAGAACATAGACCCCCATACAACCTATAAATTATGTGAGAAATCTTTAAAGAATTCTGATAAAGAAAGAGATCTAGGGGGTGGTTCTAGATAGAAAACTATCACCTGAGGACCACATAAAGAATATTGTGCAAGGAGCCTATGCTATGCTTTCTAACTTCAGAATTGCGTTTAAATACATGGATGGCGATATACTAAAGAAATTGTTCATGACTTTTGTTAGGCCAAAGCTAGAATATGCAGCTGTTGTGTGGTGCCCATATCTTAGGAAACACATCAACAAACTGGAAAAGGTGCAAAGACATGCTACTAAATGGCTCCCAGAACTGAAGGGCAAGAGCTACGAGGAGAGGTTAGAAGCATTAAACATGCCAAAACTAGAAGACAGAAGAAAAAGAGGTGATATGATCACTACGTACAAAATAGTAACAGGAATTGATAAAATCGACAGGGAAGATTTCCTGAGACCTGGCACTTCAAGAACAAGAGGTCATAGATATAAACTAGCTAAACACAGATGCCGAAGAAATATAAGAAAATTCACCTTCGCAAATAGAGTGGTAGACGGTTGGAACAAGTTAAGTGAGAAGGTGGTGGAGGCCAAGACCGTCAGTAGTTTCAAAGCGTTATATGACAAAGAGTGCTGGGAAGACGGGACACCACGAGCGTAGCTCTCATCCTGTAACTACATTTAGGTAATTACACTTAGGTAATTACAAACATTGAAGGATTTATAGAGTTAGTACATACAATGCCTAAAGCCACTAAAGCCATTCTCAGGGGTATTAACAGGATAGACATGAATGGATTATTTAACATGTGTGATACATGCACAAGGGCACACAGGTGGAAGCTGAGTACCCAAATGAGCCACAGAGACATTAGAAAAAAATTTTTAGTGTCAGAGTAGTTAGTAAATGGAATGCATTAGGAAGTGATGTGGTGGAGGCCCAGGAATCTGTACACCTGTTGATTGACGGTTGAGAGGCGTGACCAAAGAAACAGAGCTCAACCCCCGCAACCACAACTAGGTGAGTACACACACACTGTGTGTGTGTCATCTCCCAACACACAGTACTGTAGTTGAAAGGTGACACCCTCTTGTGTCAACACCTGCATCAGAGGAGCTCCAGGATATTTCAAAATTCCTAAGTATTGCAGAACAGGTTGATAGTGAGTGGTGTCCCATGGAATATAAAGGTGTAGTGCTTTTGAAAAATAGGCAAGATAACACGAATGTGCCTGGGGAAGTGAAAAAATTGGATGAGAAAAAGTTGCCCTAGTGTTAACAGTGCAGACTATGAAATTCAAGATGGCTGCCGGCAAGAGGAAAAACAAAACAGAGCTAGATTTTGGTTTCGGTGAAGAAAGCATTGATATAAGCAGTCTACACAACAAGTTGGCAAAATTAGATATTATAGTGAACTATCATAGAGAAATAATCAGCAAATTGAGAGAAAGTAATGACCACTTGAGTAGCAAAGTATTAGGTCTTGGGGGGTTAGTGAAAAATATATGCAAGGAAAAGAATCAGTTGGAAACAAATTGCAAAGCTATGAAAGAAAAAAAACAAACTCTTGAAAACAGCTTTGCAAAACATTAAAGCAAATTTAAACAAATGACTACAAAAGGTTAGGTAAGGAAATTCAACAGGGAAAAACAGCTTTTGTCAGTACAGATGGAGGAACTTACACAGGGAATAGAACAGCGCAAGAAGGATATGCAACTCACTTACTTACAAGTAGCCAAGTAGAAGGAAAAAATAGAAAAAGCAGTAAAGGAAGCTACAATGCAAACACTGCTGCAACCAGGATAAAACAAACATTAGGCTGGAAGTCAGAAAGGAATTGGCATCAAACCCAAAATTGATGCAAAACACAGTCGATCGAAGTCCTTAATAATTTTGGTTACAAAGAAGAAAAGGAGATAATTTCTAGGTCAGAAAGAGCTGTAGAAGAAGCAAACGTAATAGATGCAATTGTTGGGCTAGTGAAAAGTCTTACAACCATAGAGAATATCTGCGACTACAGGAGAATTGGCAGGTACATAAAAGAGAAAGATTGACCTTTGAGGATCACCCTAAATGGTGCCAAACAGATGGAAGAAGTACAGTGGCACCTCGACTTACGATTACCCTGACTTACGATAATTTTGAGTTACCATATAAATTTGATCGGAAAATGCAACTCGACTTACGATAGTGTCGTCGACTAATGATATTTGTTGATACACGTTTGGGTTGACCGAGCACATGGTTCCCTGTCACACAGGCCGACCTGCCTCAGTTTACTAGAGCCACCCGCTTAGTGACGATCACGCTTATGAGAAATTCTATTTTTTTGGTGATGTTTTGCTTTTTGAACATAAAACCAATTATTATATATCATGCCATAGGTCCCACGAAAGTCAGTGATAAGGTTCAACATATAAAAACACATGTGAGGATGACCATAGAGGCAGTACAGAATATCCCTTCCTCAAAAATTAAGAAAATTTTTGCAGCATGGGAAGAACTGAAAACTTTTGCTGAAATGACTCGCCTAAATCAAGCAGCAGTAGGCTGTTGCCTTAACCTTTTTAATGACACTGTGATGCATCACTACAGGTAAATATTAAAATGAAGGGTAAAACAAGTGTCACTAGACAAATTTTTAGTGAGACAAACTAGCAGTGAATCACAACCTGGTCCTAGTGGTATGCAGGCAAAACGTAAGAGAGTGTACCCCAGAGAAATCATTACTGCCTGATGTTATAATGGAAAGGGACTCCCCTTCCAAACATTAACACCTCTCCTCCTCCTCCCCCCTCATCACCATCTTCCATACGCCATCAAGAGTCCTCCATAAAGGTAAGATAAACGTATGTACTGTATTGTAGTTAGAAAAAAAAAATTGTATTCAATATAAAATGTATTTTTAAGTTAAGATTTCTGGGGCTGTGGAATGGATTAATTCAATTCCCTTTATTTCTCTTTATAGGAGAGATTAGAGGCATTGAATATGCCAAAACTAGAAGATAGAAGAAAAAGAGACGATATCATCACTACATATAAAAATAATAACAGGAATCGCTAAAATTTATAGGGAAGAATTCCCGAGACCTGGAACTTCAAGAACAAGAGGTCGTAGACTTAAACTAACTAAACAAAGCTGCTCAAGAAATATAAAAAAATTCCCCTTTCACAAACAGATTGGTAGACAGTTGGAACAAGTTAGGTGAGAAGGTGCTAGAAGCCAAAACCATCAGTAATTTCAAAGCGTTATACTAGTATGACGAAGAGTGCTGGGAAGATGGGACACCACGAGCATAGCTCTCATTCTGTAACTACAATTAGGTAATTACTCACTATGTTAGTATTTAAAAAAGAAAGAGCCATATAGAGAAATATTAAGATGAGGGGTAGACAATTTGTAGGTAACATTGCTTTTGTAAGGGCTTTATGAAGTCTAACAGTGATATACACGACTAATGCTAATAAAGAGGAAAAAAAGAAAAAAAAATGATTGAGGTCAGAGAGGCAACAATGGGTTGAAATCAGGGAGGTGAAGGAATTGAGAAATTACAGACATGAGGGATTATGTCAATTTATATTAAAGTATTACCGAGTACTGTACTGGTATTTAGCAAGACGGGGTAGTAATGCTAAATTAATACAGGGTAATTAAAATATATAAATTATAATACTTATTATATTAAATTATAATAATTATTATAAAGAGTAAACTAGGTGTGATATAAAACAGACCATTGAGGATGAATGCCTAACGGCTGTTTCCAAACGGAGCAGACAGTAAGATGTCCGCTGGTTACCTGGTTGATACCTGGTTGATGGGGTTCTGGGAGTTCTACTCCCCAAGCCTGGCCCAAGGCCAGGCTTGACCTGTGAGAGTTTGATCCACTAGGCTGTTGGTTGGAGTGGCCCGCAGGCCCACATACCCACCACACCCCGGTTGGTCCGGCACTCCTTGGAGGAAACAATCTAGTTTCCTCTTGAAGATGTCCACGATTGTTCCGGCAATATTTCTTATGCTCGCTAGGAGGATCTTGAACAACCGTGGACCTCTGATGGTTATAGTGTTCTGTGATTGTGCCTATGGCACCCCTGCTCTTCACTGGTTCTATTCTGCATTTTCTTCCATGTCGTTCACTCCAGTACGTTTTTATTTTACTGTGTAGATTTATCTCTCCCGTCTTCTTTCTAGTGAAAGAAGCGGGTGGGCGTCAATACTTACCGGGAGTCCTCAAAACCTTCTTTATGATATGTGCAGTTTGCGTGAAAAAGAGACCCTTTCCCTTTCCAATAACACCTCTAAAAATCTTCTTCTTTATGGTATGTGCAGTTTGCGTGAAAAAGAGACCCTCAAAACCTATTACCCTCCGGCAAGCACAACTGTGATGTTGTTTACATGTGTCAGCTGATTCCCATGTCAACACAAGATCAGCTGATCTTTGACTCTATTGGGTTCAAATAAGATACCTGTATATAAAAGTAATCTGATTACAACGTTTTCTATAATTAAAAAGTTCTTACATAACATAGTATGCAGAACCAAACTTCATCCCCTGAATTCCGGAACTCTGTTGTTTATCTAAATTCTAAAGCAATGATTATAACGATCCTTATTATAAGGCCGCCCATAAAATCACCCAAAACTTCTCGGAATGCCAAAAATCATCCCAAAATTAACTATTTTGTTACTGTTAAATTTGTTATGAATGAATAGAATGTGTAAAATATAACTATTCAGAAATAAACTAGTTTTTTTGGGGTAGGGTAATTGATACTAGTACTTGGGTAAAATTATTTATTGTTTTTTGGGGAGGCGAATGAAACTCGTGCTGGGCTAAATATTTATTTTATATAATAATTCATTGTGTCGGGTGACAGGAAGCCAGGTTACAGTTATACATACAGTATACGTTTGGCTTATATCGAGGCTCTCTCCCCCCAGGTAGAGATACAACCCCACAACAAACTGTGGCCATCTCCTGAGTACCTACTTACTGTTAGGTAAACAAAAGCATTAGGTGAAAGGAAATGCGCTCAACCATTTCTATCCCGCCCGCCCAACCACTTGGGCTGGATGGTAGAGCGACGGTCTCGCTTCATGCACGTCGGCGTTCAATCCCCGACTGTCCAAGTGGTTGGGCACCATTCCTTCCCCCCGTCCTATCCTCAGTCATTATCCTGATCCCTTCCAAGTGCTACATAATGGCACTTGACGCTTTCCCCCGATAATTCCCTTCCCTTCTATCCCGATCACGGAATTTTTTATTGTGAGTCGAGAACGAACCGTCTGTACTACCGGATAAGTAAAAGTAATTTTTAGTAATATAATTGAAAGTAGATAATAAAATAATATTAAGGCTTAACTAAAGTAGATAATAAGTAAGGCTTACATAAGTGGCATTATAATCACATTAACTTTACTAAATGGTAATGTATAACCCAATATTTGTTTTACAAATAAAATTTAGTAATATAATTGAAAGTAGATGATAAGTACATTGTAAGGGTTAGTGGTAATGTTTAACCCAAATTTTTATTTGATAAGTAAAAGTACAATTTAGTAATATAATTGCAAGTAGATAATAAGCAATACCTCAAATCTTATCTTACTGACAGGCTCCAGTATGTTTCTGTGAATAATACTATTTCTCCCACCCTACCCATCAACATTGGTGTTCCTCAGGGCAGCATACTTGGCCCTTTCCTCTTTCTCGTCTACATTAATGACCTTCCAAATGCCTCCCAACACCTCAAACCAATTCTATTTGCTGACGACACAACCTTCATTTACTCCAGTCCTGACCCCCTTGCTCTAAATGCCACAGTAAATACTGAGCTAGAGAAAGTCCATCTTTGGCTAACTGCCAACAAACTCACCCTTAACATTGACAAAACGTTTTATATTCTGTTTGGCAATAAATCCTCTAATCAGATAAATCTCAAAATAAACAATACCCAAATTTGTAACAAATTAGATGGCAAATTCCTTGGCGTTCTCATCGACCACAAGCTGAATTTCCAGGGTCACATTCTAAATATATCAAAAAAAGTTTCAAAAACTGTTGGCATTCTTTCTAAGATCAGATATTATGTACCCCGCCCTGCCCTGGTTACTCTCTATTACTCCCTCATCTATCCATACCTCAACTATGGTATTTGTGCTTGGGGTTCTACTACCCAAAATCATTTACGTCCTCTTATTACCCAACACAAAGCTGCTATTAGGACAATATCCAACTCTGGCCCCAGACATCACTCGGTACCCTTACTCAAATCTCTGAATATGTTAGATATTAAGTCACTGCACATTCTCTCTTGTGTATTATACATATTTGCGTAATAGTGGCTTTAGGCATTGTATGTACTAGCTATACCTATAAGTTAAACAATCCTTGTAAATATTTATTGTATGTATGTACCTTACCTAAATAAAATTTTATTGTATTGTATTGTATTGTATATATAAAACGCTGAACTGTAATGCTAATCCTGATCTCAAAAGCTTCATAGAAGGTTGTAACAGAACCCATGAGCACCACCAGAAATAAATACAGTTTTGATATTCCTAGAGTACGACTTAATCAAACTAGAAATGCTCTACAAATCAAGGGACCCAGAATGTGGAATGACCTTCCCAACCATGTTAAAGACTGTACCTCTCTCAACCAGTTTAAGATAAAAACTAAACACTACCTAATAAATTCCCTGTAACCTACCTCACTCCTCTATTGTCAACCCATGTCTGTTATTTATTTATTTTTTTTAATCAACACTGTTTGTCAACCTATTGTATTTGTGCTGCTTTTTCAGTCATGTTCCCCCTTTTTTTATCTTTATTTGTATTTGTTCTCAACACTTTTTATTCTTTATGCTCAATTAGTATTAAGTTCTAGATATTAATGTTTTTCTTGCCCGAAACGCATTGCGTAATAGTGGCTTTAGGCATTGTATGTACTAGCTCTATCTATATATCAATCCATTAATGTAACATCACTTGTATGTATGTACCTTACCTGAATAAACATATTTATTTATTTTATTTAAGTTGTCCCCCTGGCGGAGTGGTAACACACTCGCCTCGCGTTTCGCAAGCGCTTTGGCCTGGGTTCATATCCTGGTCGGGGAGGATTGACTGGGCGCCAATCCTTAACTGTAGCTTCTGTTTACCCAACAGTGAAAGGGTACCTGGTTGTTAAATGATTTGGCGGGTTGTATTCCCTGGGAAAATTAGGATTATTAAGGCTTGCCCGAAATGCTATGTGTGCTAGTGGCTGTACAAGAATCTTGGCGCGCGGATTGAACGCTCCTGGCTGGACGTTCTTTCCACACCTTACCTGGAACTCATCTTTGAATTCAGCTGGCTTCTTTGGGCCAGTGTGTGCTCACTGCAGCTACCCAGGGGTTCACAGGACCGGGGAGGCCGGAGCCTCCCTAATGGACGCCTCCCCGAGCGGGGCGCCATGGATGTTGACAGCAAGTCCCAGAGAGGAAAACGTCTGCTGGAAAATGAGTCGGCTGATGCTGCCCCAGAGCGAGATGCTAAGAGGATGTCTTCCCCTTCAGAAGACCTTAGTCTTGTGGTACCCCGTTCCTCGTTTGTGGTAGTCCTAATCCAGTCAGAATCAGGTCAGTGCGTCTTTGCAAATCCTCGTACCTTAGGTGCAGCAATCGAGGCTTCCGTATTGTGGCCACATTGCCTGCCTGAGACCATACGTACCCTGGGTAGGGATGCAGCACTGAAGCTACATATCAGAAAGGAGGCTCTATCACACATCTGTGTATCCGACATTATTAAATTGGGGGACTGGCCTGTCAGGTCCTAACAGGTATTGTCGCAGGAGGAGTCTCGAGCCCGGTATGCGAAGATTGGCCCAATTGACCAGAGTGTAGATGTGGATGACATCCAGGCCGCTCTGCAGGTATTAGGGGGTGCATCAGCGAGATTATTGGAAGTTGCCAGGATTCGCGGAGCAGCAGGGCCGACATCCATGGTCCGTGTAAAGTTCGATGGGCACCTCCCTGACCGAGTGGCACTACACAGGACCTCGTATCAAGTTCAGCCCTACAATTTCCCTGTGTTACGATGTTACGCTTGTCATCTATTGGGCCACAGTCGCCTGACCTGCCGTAATGCAGCACGTTGTGCAAACTGCGGCAAAACAGGTCATTCAGACAGAGATAACGGTGGGTGCTCTGCTGCACCTCGCTGCTTTTTATGTCATGGCCATCATAAGGTTACGTCTAAGAGTTGCCCTGTATATCTTGAGGCCCTCCAGTTGGACATCGATCATAAAACAGCGGGGACACCTCGACATGAGCTGTTCCAGAAGTTGCGCACCCTCAATCAGCCTATCGCTTCTCGCCTCCAGGTTCCCCCTGGTCGGGTCTCTTCACAAGTAGGAACTAGCAGACGCTCTTGCCTGTCCCAGTCACATGCCTCATACGCCCAGGTTGCTAATCGATTTTCCCTCCTGGGTAGCCTTGACACTGACGGAAACTCATCCACGGATACAGACATGGACGCTCAGTCTCGGCCGGAGCCTAGCACTCGTCACCCTCCTGCCTCTCCTCAAAGAAGCCAACACCGGCGTCGTCGACACACCCATCGATCAGGAGGTACTGCTCCAACAGACAGTCCTGATGATCCTCTGGTCCCCCAGGCACTTTCCCAAGGGATTGTGACACCGGGGGAACATAAGGCGCAGAGTGAGGCTCCCACCAGTCGCAGACGCCGTCAAGAGAATTCGCGAGCCGACCACCGCTTCCGTCAGGCAGAGAGAAGCATAGATCAACATCCTCTGGACTGGCAGTCATTGATACCACACATTTTACTTACTTTGTATGGGGTTTTATGGCTTTTTTTAGTGGTTCCCCCTTTGGAGACGTCTGTGCACTGGTGGTCAAAAAGTTAGCTGTTGTATTTCAGGGATAATGGCGCCCCATCCTGAGTATACTGTGGTATTTTGGAATGCCCGCTCCCTTTTTAAGAAGACGCAATTTCTACGCAATTTTGATTCCACCCCGCGTCCATGGACTCGTCATCATTCTCGACTCCTCGACACTGCCATCACTCGTCTCCGGATTGGGCACACCTGCCTGGCTGCACATCTCCATCGTCTACCGCTGGTAGATTCCCCATACTGCCAGTGGTGTCCGACCCAGGAGGATAGAGTGGAGCACCTACTTCACTGCCCTCGATTTCATAGCGCTCGCGTCAGACTACAGAGTGCCGTTCGTAGGCTGAATATTCCCCGCCTCACAGTTCCCGTTCTCCTTGACGGGGCAGGTGCGAGACGAAGACGTCCGTCATGACATCCTTCGCCATACCTTCCGCTTCATCCGTCATGTCCGTGGCCTGAAGAGACTGTAAAATTTGTGGCCTGAGGAGATTGTAGGGTCTATGGCCTGAAGAGACTATAGGGACCCCATCCCTCCGCTATTTCCCGGTATCGGGCAGCCGGGGCGCATCCGATCCCACGATCGTCGTCGCCCCTAAATCAACACAACAACAACAAACTGTGGCCATCTCCTGAGTACCTACTTACTGTTAGGTAAACAAAAGCATTAGGAGAAAGGAAATGCGCTCAACCATTTCTATCCCGCCCGCCCAACCACTTGGGCTGGATGGTAGAGCGACGGTCTCGCTTCATGCACGTCGGCGTTCAATCCCCGACCGTCCAAGTGGTTGGGCACCATTCCTTCCCCCCGTCCCATCCCCAATCCTTATCCTGATCCCTTCCAAGTGCTACATAATGGCACTTGGCGCTTTCCCCCGATAATTCCCTTCCCTTCTATCCCGAACCCGGAATTTTCGATTGTGAGTCGAGAACGAACCGTCTGTACTACCGGATAAGTAAAATTAATTTTTAGTAATATAATTGAAAGTCGATGATAAGTACATTGTAAGGGTTAGTGGTAATGTATAACCCAAATATTTATTTTATAAGTAAAAGTAAAATGTAGTAATATAATTTCAAGTAGATAATAAGTCTAGATAATAAGTCCCCCTGGCGGATTGGTAACACACTCGCCTCGCGTTTCGCGAGCGCTTTGGCCTGGGTTCATATCCTGGTCGGGGAGGATTGACTGGGCGCCAATCCTTAACTGTAGCTTCTGTTTACTTAACAGTGAAAGGGTACCTGGTTGTTAAATGATTTGGCGGGTTGTATTCCCTGGAAAATTAGGATTATTAAGGCTTGCCCGAAATGCTATGTGTGCTAGTGGCTGTACAAGAATGTAATAATAATAATTTATTTGCAAGAAGGTACAATGGGTTGGTGAGATTACGTTAGCTTGGTATTTTTACATTCATACAGAACCACTAACACGCATAGCGTTTTGGGCAGGTCCTTAATGTTGACAAATGTTAGAGATCCCATGTGGGGCGTAACAACCCACGCCCAAACTACCAAATTAATAGCATTGCATTACAGTAGATTGATGAAGAAAAGGACCATGGAATAAAAATTCACTCACTGAATCCACCACTCATTGAAAGTTGCACAACAGGAAGGAGCAGCAGTCAAAAAGCTAACCAAACACTTGGAATAATCAAGCGTACCTTTGGCTTTAAGGAAAAGAAGGTAGTGATTCTCTGGTGTGCCCCCATTTGGATTACAGTATTCAAGCTCCCAGCATGGAGACTTCATCTTCAGAAGGACATAGCTGCGCAGGAGAAGGTGCAACACCGGGCAACAAAAATTATTCCATAACTAAGTCAACTCCCGTATCAGGAACGGTTGAGGGCCACAGGGCTAACAACACTGCAAACCAGGCATGTCAGGGCGGATTTCATTGAAACTTTTAAAATACTGGACAAGTCAGAAGATGTTGATCCGGACAATTTCTTCAGGTCACCTTACCTTGAGGTTATCTTGAGGTGCTTCCGGGGCTTAGCGTCCCCGCGGCCCGGTCGTCGACCAGGCCTCCCTGATATATCCCCGATAGGTCAGATATAACACAAACACGGAATAACGGTGTCAAGCTCAACGAGCCACAATGTCGGACTGAGAACAGAAAATGCTTTTCGCCCACAGGGTTATTAACCCATGGAACCGCCTACCTGCCGAAGCCGTAACTGAAAAAAAAACTGTTAACTTTTAAAGTACAACTGAAAAAAGATCATCAAGGCAAATGGGGGGACCTTCAACAAGCCGCCGGCTTCCTGTCCTCATCGAGCCACTAGTGTTAGTGGCTATCTGGTAAATTCAGGTAAATGTTATGTGCGAAGGTTCCAGCTCTACAGGAGATTCCAGTTTGGCTTTAATTAACGCATAAATTTTAGTTATAAATTTTCACATAAGTAAATTTGGTTTATAACATTTAAGTGCGGTGAACACGTGTTGCAGAGGTGAGACACGAACGAGGGGACACATGTGAGGGACATGAACGAGGGGACACATGTGAGGGACATGAACGAGGGGACACATGTGAGGGACATGAACGAGGCGACACATGTGAGGGACATGAACAAGGGGACACATGTGAGGGGACACGTGAGGGACGAGGGGACACATGAGGGACATGAGGGACACATGAACGAACGAGGGGACACATGTGAGGGACATGAACAAGGGGACACATGTGAGGGACATGAACGAGGGGACACATGTGAGGGACATGAACAAGGGGACACATGTGAGGGACATGAACAAGGGGGACACATGTGAGGGACATGAACGAGGGACACATGAACATGAGGGGACACATGTGAGGGTGACAAGGGGGACATGAGGGACATGAGGGGGACACATGTGAGGGACATGAACGAGGGGACACATATGAGAGACATGAACGAGGGGGACACATGTGAGAGACATGAACGAGGGGAACACATATGAGCGACATAGAGGAGCGGATACATAGGCCTGCTGTAGGCAGACTCAATACACGGATTCGAAAAAAAGAAATGACAGAACTCAATCAGTTCGGAAAGAATTTGACCAACTGATCGAAAATTTAAAGGCAGGACTCACGAACGGAGGCCGGATTCACCAGTTACGGGACCCTCTAGGAGACACGGGCCTCTTATCTCCACCAAGGCGGCTGCAATGGTATTCAAGAACTTGTTTACGAGCAAGAAGAAGATGGCCCCGGCCTCCAGCCCTCGGAACTCTGGGCAGGAAGTGGGGGTCCGGAAGCTACAGCTTTCACTCTGCGTAGACACAGTAAGGTGAGTATGTATTGCTTAGATAGTTAGGGGTGGTGGCGGTTGTTAGTAGTGATAGTGGTTGGTGATGGTGGTTGTTAGTGATAGTGGTTGGTGGTGGTGGTTGTTAGTGATAGTGGTTGGTGGTGGTGGTTGTTAGTGATAGTGGTTGGTAATGGTGGTTGTTAGTAATGGTGGTGATGGGTGGCAGTGGTGATGACAGTGACACTGGTGGGGGTAGAGTGGTGATGATGGTGGAGGTAGTTGCTGGGGATGGACGACACTGGTGATTGTGGTGGTGGGGTTTGAGGTTGATGGTGGTTGCATATGGCTTTCACAGCGGCGGTGGGTGGGGGGTGGGGGTTGGTTAATGGTGGTGGTGGTGGGGAAGTAAAGTGTGCAGTCAGCAGTGTGGGAGGTGACACAACACCATAACCTGCCCTAACCCCCCCCCCTCCCCCCAACATCTGTACACCTGCAGGGATCACAGCCGTCCTGTGTCTTACACGCGACCTACCTCAAAAACACACACACACACACACACACACACACACACACACACACACACACACACACACACACACACACACACACACACACACACACGCACATTTGTTTGTTGACAAATCCAACTTATAGGTAAGTAGACAGATAAGTAGGTAATTTCTAGCAAAATTTATAAAATGTTAACAGGTACATTGTAAGAAAATTTTACAAAGGTTAGTAGGCACATTAAAGCACATTGATAGCACATATAAGATGACAGCAATGATCACAATGTTAAAGTCGTATGGCTCTGGTACATATATTGGGGGGTTGGGTAGCACTAGATACAGTGCGAGTTAAAGCACTAGGTAGAACACTATGAAGATGAAATTAGGTACTTTTTGGTTTTGTTTTCGAATAAGGCAAAAGTTGGACAGCTTTTCAGTTCGTTAGGGAGTGAGTTCCATAGACTAGGTCCCTTTATTTGCACAGAGTGTTTACACAGATTATGTTTGACTCTGGGGATATCAAAGATATATTTATTTCTGGCGTGGTGATTATGGGTCCATTTACATCTGTCCAGGGAGTGTTTCAGAACAGGGTTTTATAAATGTAGATGGCATAAGAGAATGTGTGGAGTGAGTTTATGTTTAGCATGTTTTAGGGATTTAAACAGAGGAGCTGAGTGTTGTCTGAAAGCATAGTTTGTTATTGTTCTGATAGCAGATTTTTGCTGGGTGATGATGGACTTGAGGTAGTTTGCAGTGGTTGAACGGGGGGTTCAACCATTCACAGATACCATATGTAAGATAGGGATAGATTAGTGCATAGTATAATGAGAGGAGAGCAGAGTTAGGTAGATAATATCTGATTTAGAGAGTATACCAACTGTTTTAGAGACTTTCTAAATTATATGTTGAGTGTGGATACTCAAGTTAAGTCTCTTGTCTAAGTATAGGCCAAGGAACTTTCCATCATTTTTATTGCTGATGTTAACATTGTCTATCAGAAGCTGAATTGCATTTGTCGATTTATCTTTACTAAATCCGTGCTGGTGCCTTGAGACAAAGTTTATCTGGTGAAAATGTTCTACTAGTCAGCTTCGTATCAGTCTCTCTAGTAACTTGCAGGGGATACTTGTTAGTGTTATGGGTCTGTAGTTTAACGGTGTCTGTCTTCCCCCTTTCTTGTAGATTGTCACCGCCTTAGCCATTTTCCAACAGCCAGGAAGTTTCCGGTTTCTAGAGAGGAATAAAATATTATGGCAAGTGGGCTGCACAATGATTCAGCTGCCTCTTTTAGTATTCATGGCGATACTTTGTCTGGTCCCACGGCTTTTGTCACATACAATTCCTGTAGTTGTTTCTTTACTTCTTCTAGGGACACTTTTATTTCAGTGAGGCTTTCCAGTGCCTGTTCGGTGTGGATTATAACTTGAATACTTCCTGAAAGCCTTTGTTAAGTTCCTCACATACCTCCTTATAATTTTCTGTGTCCTCCCTCACTTTTTTCAGGTCTGATAACTTGATCATTCACAGTCATCGTCCTCCTGATATGGCTATGGAACAGTTTTGGCTCATGTGTGTGCGTATGTGCGCTAAACTTGCTGTCAGACACCTTAAAACACACACCTGTTCACCACTCCTCCACAACTCTCACGCACGTACACACACACACACACACACTGACACCCACACATGTTTTCGTAAACTCTCATACACCCACACACACCCCCGCGGACGCCAGACACACCGTCTGCTCACAGGGAGGCTGATCTAGCGTCTAGCAAGTAAGGCATCACCAGCACCAACCACAACAGCAGCAGGAAACAGCATCAGCAGCAAAAAAAGAGAGAAGAAGATCAACAGCAAATATTATCTATATAGTAAGACAAATTAGTGAACGTAACGAGGAAGGTGTTGATAAAATACTTGAAAATAAGTAAAGATTTGTATTTACTATTTCTAGTGTAAAGTTTTAGCGAGAGTGATGAGTATGTGAGGAGGTGAGGAGGAGGGTCAAACACCAGGACCACTGGACCAGGACCCGGATTCACGAAGCAGTTACGTAAGCACTTACGAACGTGTACATCTTTCCTCAATCTTTGACGGCTTTGGTTACATTTATTAAACAGTTTACAAGCGTGAAAATTTGCCAATCAACTGTTGTTATTGTTATAAACAGCCACCTGGTGCTTCGGAGCTCATTAACTGTGTAATAATTGTAAACAAAGCCGCCAAAGATTGAGAAAAGATGTACAGGTTCGTAAGTGCTTGCGTAACTGCTTCGTGAATCTGGCCCCTGGCTATAGTCCCCTTGACCGTGTGGATGTGGTTAATAAGTGGCCAGTGTGTGCTCCCTCACACTCTTCACCACAATGATTATTGTGGTGAAGCCTTCTAGTTAACACTAGAACTTGTGACACTCTAGTTAACACAGAAGAATACTGCCAGTGGTTCTTCAGTGATCACCGCAGGGCACACACTACCTTGTTCTTAAGAGTGCGAGCCGATAGACGCATCATTAGGGGACAAATTGGGGACCTTTGACTAGCCGCGGGCTTCCTATCGTCATCGAGGCCACGAGAGAGAGAATAATTAATGGCCCTCAGGTAAATTCAAGTAAATGCACCGTGAGGGATGGTGGAACAGAAAGATTTATTGAAGAACAGTTATAGGCAGTTGGTGCTCTGTTTCTCATGATGTACGCGTACCAGCAGTTGACCTCCTCAGATCATTTCCCCTCAACACAGACACTTCTCTGACACAAACAATTAACAGCAACTTTCAGTTAGTTTTAGATATACAGTCAGGAACGATTACACACGGACAAAAATAATCAGGTAATCCCAGTCATATGCAAGATTAGTCTCACTGCCCCTCTCTTCTTATCTTACTGTCTTCTATCACAGCTTCTGACTTAGTTCTCTCTTCTTAGCATTCACCTGGGCTCTAGGAGGCTCTAGGAGACTTTTCATTCTCTCTTCTTTTCCTCTGGCATACCTTTGTCCTCTTTCTCTCGCTTTCATGCATGTTCCGTTTCAAGCCTCTCATTGCCTGTCTCTGATTCTCTTCTGAGCGTTCACGTATCATGGTAACGAAGGCCTATACAGCTGTTGACAGTATTAACAGTGTCGTGGCGAGCTGGAAGGCGTTCGTAGATGAAGTACATCTACGAACGTACATCACGTACATCATGACAGTTGAAACTGCAGCGGTAATGGCACTGGTGGCCGGGGTCATTATTAGTGACGTGAACTTTTTGTGAGTTTGTATGGGGCAAAAGTATCCTAACAGACCATTGCTGGTTTACTTATAGGAATGTAGTAGTAGCAGCAGTAGTTGCAGCAGCATCACTATTCTTAGTAGTAGTAGTTATAGTAGTAGAAGTAGTTGTAGTAGTACCAGATGTAGTATTAAAACGTTATGAGTTATACTATTAGTAGTAGCCTCATCCTAAGTGAATATCAATGTTTACTAGAATTGCATTTTTGTTGCAAGAACTACACGTTAGTGAGATGCTACAACATTATTCCTGGGCGTGGCTCTTAGCCTCCCAGCGGTCCACACTCTTGTTTCATTATTGTTATCAGTTATTGCTTTATTACTGGCATTATTCCCTCTTTCTCCGTCCCTATAACCCATCTTTTGGGCTCTTCCCTCACTCTCTTAGAGAGAGTTTAGCTCTCTTGATAATTAGCTGTCATTATTATTATTATTATTATTATTATTATTATTATTATTATTATTATTATTATTATTATTATTATTATTATTATTATTATTATTATTATTATTATATGGTTCGGTTGATTGTTTAAACAATCATAATTCCATTTTCTCGTAGTGATTTCAACATCTAAACATTTTAGGGACCTTCAAGTATGTTTAAGGGATCCCACACACTTTAAGGAAAATAAGGTAATGATTCAACTGTGTAAATTTCTGTTGTTATGTTATCTTTCATAACCACAGGTGCACAGACTTGTGTTATCTTTCATAACCACAGGTGCACAGACTTGTGTTATCTCTCATAACCACAGGTGCACAGACTTGTGTTATCTCTCATAACCACAGGTGCACAGACTTGTGTTATCTCTCATAACCACAGGTGCACAGACTTGTGTTATCTCTCATAACCGCAGGTGACATGAGAGATATGCTATGTACCTGGTACCCTCATACCAGGACAGGTTGAGAACCACACGACTAACAGCACCACAAACCAGACATGACAGGGCTGATCTCATTAAAAAAATTAAAATAATAAACAATTTGGAGGATGTTATAATAATAATAATAATAATAATAATAATAATAATAATAATAATAATAATAATACTTTATTGACAAGAAGGTACAATGGATTTGTGAGATTACATAATATTGATATTTTTACAGTCTGGCAAAGCCACTAACACGCATAAAGTTTCAGGCAGGTCCTGAATCTAACAGACCAATTCAAATTCTTTCTTTATTATGCACCCCATACCCATCCCGTGGGCGGTGGTGTAAAGGATTACAGAGGCATATAATCGGTTCAGGAACTGAACCCTCTAGTTCGTTTAGCTAAGCAAATAACAATTTTTGACGCTAGTTACAACATTATTAATGTTATATATACATGTACACATTCTCATACATGTACATATATATATACGTATACATATATACATACACGTACATATTTAATCACCCACACAAGTACACACATCAATAATCTTTTGTGTCACAAGTGATTCAACAAGAGGCTCACAACAGTCACGCACTGACATGAACATAGAGACCAAAAAAGATGAAACTAATCTAGACAATTTCTTCGAAATGTTAAATGTAACACAAACAAGGAGCAACGGTTTTAAGCTCAACAAGCAACAATGTAGGCCTGAGAACAGATTTTTTTTTACCCACAAGGTTATAAACCTATGGAACCCCCTACCAGCTGAAGCCGTAAATGCCAAAACTCTGTTAACTCTGCTATAATTCAAAATCCAGCTCGATAAAATCATCTAGAGATATGGGGACGCCTTTGACAAAACGACGGCTTCCTGTCCTCGTCGAGGCCCCTAGAGAGGTAGTGGTCCCTCATGTAAATTCAGGTAAAACTTTGGCACACATTTCATGAACGATTCACAGTTATCCACACATGTATACATCATGTCCCGTCACCTTGATGGGAATCAACATATAAGCAACATATGACGGTCGCATCATATTAACATGTGCAGCTGGGTGGTGGTGAGGGGGGGGGGGAGGGTTGATGGTGAGGGAGGGTGTTGGTGATGCATACAGGTGTTAGACGTTTCATGACCTGCTCAACAGCTGGCTGAGGTTCTGTCTGGCTTTGTTTGACGTTCTATTTATGTATATATATATATATATATATATATATATATATATATATATATATATATATATATATATATATATATATATATATATTGGCCTCACATTATACCATTGTGGCTTCATTTTACACCCAAGAGAAACACAGGTACTAGTAGGCCTACAACATTTAGCTTGGTGCCCCAGCAGGAGAGACGAGCACAGCTCCGCAAGGACACATCCACTCGTGCATCATTATCTCTCAAGGGGAGGACGGAGACAATAGTTTACGAGTTGAGAAGCAATACTCACCAGTGTGAAGGTGGTGCTCGTCTGGGCTCACCTGGCACTCACCAGTGTGAAGGTGGTGCTCGTCTGGGCTCACCTGGCACTCACCAGTGTGAGAGTGGTGCTCGTCTGGGCTCACCTGGCACTCACCAGTGTGAGGGTGGTGCTCGTCTGGGCTCACCTGACACTCACCAGTGTGAGGGTGGTGCTCGTCTGAGCTCACCTGGCACTAACCAGTGTGAGGGTGGTGCTCGTCTGGGCTCACCTGGCACCAACCAGTGTGAGGGTGGTGCTCGTCTGAGCTCACCTGGCACTAACCAGTGTGAGGGTGGTGCTCGTCTGGGCTCACCTGGCACTAACCAGTGTGAGGGTGGTGCTCGTCTGGGCTCACCTGGCACTAACCAGTGTGAGGGTGGTGCTCGTCTGGGCTCACCTGGCACTCACCAGTGTGAGGGTGGTGCTCGTCTGGGCTCACCTGACACTCACCAGTGTGAGGGTGGTGCTCGTCTGGGCTCACCTGGCACTCACCAGTGGGTGGTGCTCGTCTGGGCTCACCTGGCACTCACCAGTGTGAAGGTGGTGCTCGTCTGGGCTCACCTGGCACTCACCAGTGTGAAGGTGGTGCTCGTCTGGGCTCACCTGGCACCACTGTGAGGGTGGTGCTCGTCTGGGCTCACCTGACACTCACCAGTGTGAGGGTGGTGCTTATCTGGGCTCACCTGGCACTCACCACTGTGAGTCAGGCAGTCATCAGGTGCAGGGGTGGCACTCATCTTAACGTACCTGTAACTTACATATGTGTTGTTGCTATACACTTATAAGCACTAACAAAGGTTGGCCCTACTGGATATATCTGTTATTTATCTGGGTGTTGTTGGTATCTTCATGAAGGCGACACACTGTGAGGGCACAGCAAGGCTCCGGGACCACATCACATCTACACACAACCAGACTATCACCATAATGATCCCGACCACCAACAGTGAAAGAATCAAGAGAGAGATATATATTGATAATGGCAGAAGTACTTAACATCACATACAAAAAATACATACATATAAATACATACATACACAAAAATAATGTTTTTGGTGGAGGCTGACTCCATACACAGTTTCAAATGTAGATATGATAGAGCCCAGTAGGCTCAGGAATCTGTACACCAGTTGATTGACAGTTGAGAGGCGGGACCAAAGAGCCAAAGCTCAACCCCCGCAAGCACAATTAGGTGAGTACACTGATCCAGTGTATGACAGTCAACTCATGTATTGGT